AGAAGGTGGAAAGAGTGAGGGGTGGGGAGGGTCGGGGATGAGGAGGGTGCCATGTGGGGAGCGGGGTGAGGGGACGAGAGGTGGACAGCAGCACCCCGCACCCTCCCCTGGCTACTCCCCTGGACCTCACTGTGGGTCCATGCACCTGACCGATTCCCTTCAGACCCCTGAGGATGCAAGTCCAACTCCTTGACGGTCCTGCTAGAGATCAAACAGAAAAGGCGGAGAGTAACCATTATCTTAAAATCGTAAAACCTGAGGTCAAAGAGGCCGAGAGACGTCAGCACCCTGCCGGCTGCAGCTCACCCAAGTCACTGAGAGGCTGGACGGGAACTTAGCGTACAGCACACTCAGGCACAAACCCGGCTGCAGCTCACCCCAGTCACTGAGAGGCTGGACGGGAACTTAGCGTACAGCACACTCAGGCACAAACCCGGCTGCTGGTCACCCCAGTCACCGAGAGGCTGGACGGGAACTTAGCGTACAGCACACTCAGGCACAAACCCGGCTGCCGGCCACCCCAGTCACCGAGAGGCTGGACGGGAACTTAGCGTACAGCACACTCAGGCACAAACCCGGCTGCCGGCCACCTCACTCACTGCCTCCTGCACCATCGGACGCGCCTGTGACGCACGCAGCCTGTGGTAAGCACTTCCACCACCTTCCTCCAGCCCAGCTCCAGGCCCGACGCCTCCTGAGCTGGGCCCCCTCACCCACCTGTCCTCCCGTCTGATCCCCAAACCACCTTCATAAGGCAAAACCCCTTTCTCCACAGCATCTCCCCGAATCTGCTTAGATTTTACCTCAAGCGACTGTCATAGTCGGTGATGTGACCCGTTGCATCGTTGGATAACTCTCTAAACTGCCTCCCGTGGCTTCCGGCCAAACGCCCCCTTCTGCCCCCTCTGCAGTGGAGACTGAGTCGACTTCCTCTTCCACGTGCAACCTGACCGGGCCCTCACGCTCCCTGGGTCTCATCTCTGACCTGCGGCCCCCGGCCACTCCCCGGGCTCCTCGGACACTGGTCCACCCTCCTCGGAAGGAATTCCAGTCCCTCTCAATCCCCCTGAAACTGGGGAGCCCAGAAACGGCGCTCATGCTGCAGAGAAGGGACACGCTCACAACAGGGCACGCCACGGCGTGTGCTTTGGGAATCCGAGCGCAAACACATATTTTTGGAGTCATCTTCTGAGTCGGGGGAACCTGGAACTGGTCCCTGCTCTGAGTCCCTGGCTGCAGCCCACGCTCAGGGGTGCGTGCGTGTGTGACGTATGTGTGCACATCCGCAGGGAGAAGGCCGCACCCACGCACCCTCAACCCGCTCGTCCCGTAGCTCTGAGTGGGCCTGGGCTCTCCAGGCAGGATGCAGGGCCGCAGTCCGAGATCCTCAGAGCTGGATGCGTCGATCCTGAGCCCACGGTCCCTCCTCCAGTCCCTCCCTGACTCACAGAGAAGCCGAGCTTCCGGTCTGACTGGATGTGGGCAGCACTGAGGGCCGAGGTTGTTAGGCAACTGGGTCCAGGAGTGGGAGGTGTGTGTGCACACGGGTGGGCGAGGGCGGCGCCCGCCACGCCTTTGTCAGGAGGACCAGCACCATCAGGACTGCTCAGCGCTGCCAGCTCAGGGCTCAGCAAACCACTGGTGACCAACCCAGCTCACCACCAGGTTTTTCGTTTGCTTGTTTTTTAAAATATATTTTTATTGATTTCAGAGAGGAAGGGAGAGAGAGAGAGAGAATCAATGATGAGAGAGAATCATGGATTGGCTGCCTCCTGCACGCCCCACACTCTGGATCGAGCCCACAACCTGGGCATGTGCCCTTGCCCGGAATCGAACCCGGGACCTTTCAGTCCGCAGGCCGACGCTCTATCCACTGAGCCAACCCAGCTAGGGCTCCACCAGGTTTTGTATGGCCCACGAGCTAAGGAGGTTTTTACATTCTTCAATGTTGGGGAAAAGGGAAGAATATCTCGTGACATGTGAAAATGATATGAAATGGGTTTCCAAGTCCATAAAGTTTTATTGGGAACAGCTATGCTCACTCATTCATATCTTGCCCGTGGCCACCTCCACCGTCCAAGGCAAACTGGTTTCTGTAGCAGAGGCCGCACGGCTCACACGGCCTGAACGCTCCCCCCTGCCCTCTGGCCTGTCTATCCCGCAGGCCTGGGAGCTGTGGCCTCCTTTCCTGTGAGCTGGCAGGAACCTGTGCTGATGACGCCACAGTGGAGGCAGGGCTGCAGGCTCGCTCCGCCTGCAGGGGACATCTGAGGAGGAGGATTCTGTGTAGGTGGGATGATAAGGCTCATTCTTCCTTCTCTCCCCACCGGGCACTGCTCTCCATGGCCTTGACACTGCCCCTCTCAGCCGTGAGCAGCTCCCAGAATGGCACTTTCTCCCTTCCTCCTGCCATGGCCGGCTTCCCCACCCGTTTCTGAACTTGAGAGAACACAGGCTCTGCTCAGGGTGGTTGGGGTGAGGAGAGGCGGGAGCGGGG